CTTTAACATACAGCACAATGCCCCTTTTTCTTTTCATCTGCTAAACTTGTGTGCATTATACCCAGCCGGAGGTAATACAACACATTTTGCTGGTGGTTCACTATATGTACTTCTTGCAGGCATGTCAGATCACAATTCTTTTTCTGTAAAGCATTCAGTATTTTATTTCTCTTTCTTAGTGAATTCAAACCATTTATGTTTAAAGAAATTAAGCGGAGTTCATCAGCCATGATTATTTGTGTAAGGCTTTGGATTTTGTTGTCTGCCTCGTCTGCGGTTTTGACTCTCATTTCCCCTTTTCTTGTCTCCCGGGGCACTATTCTTTCGCTCCTCTCCTCGGCTCTTGTTATCCAATTCTCCATAATTACTCTGGGTTCCCCTCTTCAACTGACTTTCCATAAAGTCTTGTGTATCTTGCAATGATTCAATCCGAAACCTTTGGCCTTGCCAGAGGAAAGACACCCCTTCTGGTAAAAGTCACCTATACATCACCTGAAGTTTCCTCAATTGTGTTATTAGGTCCTGATATTTCTGCCTCCTTTTCCTCACTCTTCTTGGTATCTGTTTTAGTACTGTCACCATCTCCCCTGCGTATATGGTATTCTGGTCATGTGCCTTCTGGTAAATTTCTTCTCTCAGAGATTGTTTGTTAAACCTCATGTACACATTACATGGCAGTTTCTGTCTCCTAGTATAGGAGGTATAAACCCTATAGACGTCATCAACAGCTTCGCTTTCTCGGCGAGCCCTGCAATCATCTCAACCATAATTTCCTTTAATTCCTTCCCTCTCTCCTCTGGAACATTTTGAAATCTAAGAAAGAAGACTGACCTTTCTAATTCCAACACAACAATCTCATCTTCCAATTTTCTATTGATATGAAGCTGCCTCATCTCCCACCTCACCATGTTCCCTTCACTTTCCTTCATTTTTACTCCTAAACCTTGAATTTGACCCTCCCGTTTCTTCATTTTTGCCCAGATCTCCTTGCCAAAAAAACCTCTGATTTGAGAGGCAAGTATCTATCAAAACACTTCTGTAAAATTCAAGTACAAAAGAACCAAAAACTTTCCTTAACATTCCTTAACCACTGCTAAAATATCCAAATTGCGGATAGCATAGCAGGAGAAAAACATTCTCTTCTTGGTTTACAATACATTTATGTCAAACCATGAGCTATGTTTGGTTGACTACATCAACTTCTGCTGTTGCCTCAGCCATTCTTTCTGCAGCTTATCTTTGGGTGTCATCTTTCTAGTGTATTCCTGGCTGGGGAATTCTGAGAATTGAAGTCCATATATCTTCAAAGTTACTAAGTTTGAGATACACTGCTGTATGGAATCAAATGTTAGATCCTGAAGGAGCAAGATAACAAGATGATTGATGGTTTTGAACTAGTGTCAACGAAGATTCCTGGGGCCACCATGGACAGGCAAGAAAATAAAGGCATGGCAGAAAAATTAATCCAGAGTTCTCACTCGAGGGAGAAAAGACCAGGCAAAAATTAAACTACTTTGGACATATTTCACATTATGTGACAATCCGCTCCCTTGAAAAGTCTATAATGCTGGGAATGGTGAGAGGAAATAGAAGAAGAATTTGCAACCGCAAGATCCATGGACTCTGTTATGGTAGAAATGGATACTCCATTAGAAAACCTTAAACACTAGATTGGGGGAAAAATCATCTTGGAGAATGTTTTTCTATGCAGTCTCTAAAAATCTGACCCTGATTTGATAGCACACAATCAGACAATTACTACACCTGATTGATTTAATTTTATTTTATTAAATATTGATTAAGTGGAAGATTACTGAGTGGTTTTCTAAAAAACCCTAGCTGTCTGAAGGGTATAACACTTCTATCTTGCACCCCTCAGTGGTCTTGGGGTGGCCATCAGTTGATTGGGACAGGGGTAGGTTCTGCCCGACTTTACTGCCAGTTTGTGCATGTGCGTGTGCATGCTCAGTTCAATTAAAAATTTTTAGCAGTAGACTTATATACCGCTTCATAGGGCTTTCAGCCCTCTCTAAGCGGTTTACAGAGAGTCAGCATATTGCCCCCAACAATCTGGNAGATAGATAGATAGATAGATAGATAGATAGATAGATAGATAGATAGATAGATAGATAGATAGATAGATAGATAGATAGATAGATATAGTTGGGGTTTTGTTTCTTGGGAAAAAAATTGCCTCTTCTTAATGCCTTTTAATTTCTTCAAATTCTATTTTTCTAAAATGTTCCCCCAGTTATTTCTATTTTTATTTAAATCACAAATCCCCAATTATCTGTACCTGAACAACATAGCGATCTTTATTATCATTGGGTCCTTATGGTATATTTGGATTTAATTGACATTTCACCAATAATCTCAGGAGGTGAATAGATTCACATCACTCTGATTTACATTGCATGCTGGCTGGGGAATTCTGAGAGTTGGTTCACATATCTTAAAGATGCTGAGATTGAGAAATACTGCTCCAGAACATCCCAAATATATGGACAGATGTATCATTCACTGTGAAGTTCCTCAGAAGGAACTGCTGATGCAGTCTGGGACGGTGACATAGTTGGTATTCCGCCGGTTCCGACTGGTTCGGATAAACCAGTAGCTGAAATTTTGAATAGTTCAGAGAACCAGCAAATACCACCTCTGGTTGGGGGCCCTGTTGTTTCCTGTCCCATTTTCCCTTGGTTTTGAGCTCAACTGATTCATGGGGCAGAGCAGATTGGCTCACCTCAGCTGAGGATTTGGAATCCCACCACTGGATGATGAAACCTGATTTCTGATTTCAATGAGCATTGCTCAGTCCTCAGGGAGATGGAAGAACAAGTAAAGGAAGTTTAGAAGTTAAATTGTAAAAAAAAACACAAGATACACAGTTGAATATGTTGGTTTCCATGCCCTATAAAGCCTAGAGCTCTTGTTTTTGTTTTGAAGCCTGGGTGAAATTTTGCTCTTGTGCTAATGAAGTTATGCCAGAAAAAGACAATGCAGACAAACAAAAGACAGCCAAAACTATCCCCACAGGCACCATGAATTTAAACATGGAGAACTAAATAATACAACACTATCAATATTCTATAGATCTAATATTTAGTGTTCAAAAATAAAATAAATCCCAAAAGAAGAAGAGGTATTCAAGCTAAAGGGTAGCAAATTAGCAATGTGAGGATAAATATGCCAAAGACTCTAAGAATCCCAAATATTGGAATAATTGTTAAAACAATAACATTAAAATGGTGGCAGTTGATATTTCAGTCAAATATAGGGGAGACCAAGTATGCGGCTGTCAGTCTTGGGACAGGGGTGGATTCCGGCTTCTTCTACTGCTGATTTGCTCAGGGATGCGCTTTGAGCGTGTGTGCTTGCTTAATGTGTGCTATGCATGCATGTGCAGTAGGTAAGAACCAATGGAACCAGTTTGGGGGCGTGGCCAGCCAAGTTACTACCTACTCGGCCGAACCGGTCCAAACCAGTAGGAATCCCCCTCTGTCTTGGGAGGTAATAGATATTTGCACATATTCACAAGAGGTAGTCTGAACTTTGCAAAACCTAATGATCCAGCATTTAATAATACACTAATATACTGCAATTTAACATCTGATTACCAGCTGTTGAGCTGAAGGTGGGCTCTCCAGAGGCCAATTTTCTCAGCAACCTAAGTAGCTAGAATCACTGGCAATTGGATTTTTTTATTATTATTTTTAACAAGGGCTAGTGGGAGGCATGTTTAAAGTCAATGGTTTCCATTTTGGCTCTCTGCCAGCATTTTCCATTCTAAAATATCTTGAGATACTAATT